GTGAAAAAGAAAGAATAGATATATAATGGGGTGAAAAAGATTTTGACCCATTAATAAATGCCCCTATCTATTTGAGCCTACGTGGCTACTTCTGGTGCTTCGGAATCCTACTTGGCGAAGAATCATGCTTCATAATTAGGTTTGTACAAATACTATTGATATATTAATAATTATATATTAATAATTAATAATCTAGGTCCGGACATTTCATAAATATTATTTGGCTAACTTAGGTAATTTAATATCACTTGTACTAATATAACATTTTAATTCTTTATAATTTTATATAGTGATGCACTAAGTGACTAATATATCCAATACTTTTGATTTGCTTCTTTCAATTAGATATTGAATTGTAAATGTATTTTAATATCACTTGTACTAAATATCACATTAATCATTTTTTGATAATCTTCGATTTGACATTCATATTGTATATATGAAATAAATAAATTATATTTATCTTTATAATAATAAAAAATAATATTATTTATTAAAATTCATTAAAAAATAAAATTATTTTTCAATTGATATATTTATGTTTAATGTAGTTATATGTTGTAAGTTAAAAAAATTATTATAATGTAACACAGGTAAGTCGCAAAAATAAAAAAATGTCATACTAAATAAATAATAATATCTATATTTTTATAAAAAGGTATTTAAATTTTCAACTACTTTTTTTCATTAATGAAAAAATTAGCAAGCATCCGTGTAATAAACAGGCGTTGTACTAGTAATTAAATATACCCACACGTTAAACTTTAGATTAGTGGATAATAACAGTAAACATATATGACAAATCCAACGTGAGGCCACCTAACACATAGGGGTGAGCGTGGGTCGGTACGGTTCGAAGATTGATAAATCTCTAGAACCGTACCAAACTTCGGAGATCCCAAAATTCGATCTCCAGAACCGTACCAAAAAGTCGATTCGGTTCGGTTCGGTTCGGTTCGGTTCAGAGATTTTTATTTTTCGGTTCGGTTCGGTATTCAGGACTATTGGGACGGTTCGGTTCGGTAAGGTTTGGTTCGGATTTTCGGAGATTTTTTTTTTAAAAAATTAATTTTGAATGACTACCTAGTTATATTTCAATTTTTATATGCTTTAAAAAAACAACATTTATCAATAATTCATCATATTGAAGATTTTATTTTGAATTCAATTCTAGAAGTAACTCTAAATTTTAGTTATTTGATTTTTATATGCTTTAATAAAATCAACATTCATCACTACTTCCTCACATTAAATTTTTTATTTTGATATCAACTTTATAAGTAACTCTAAGTTTTAGTTATAACCAAAATTAGTGCAATTAAAATTGAAAATTTAAAATTCAAATAAAATATAATATTTTTTTCTTAAAAAAAATATTTTTTAAACTTTCATATTATTTTAAATAATTATTTTATAATAGAAAAAATTCAATTGTAGATCAAGTATTACTAAGAAAGAAATTTAAATGAATGTTAACATTTATTACTATATTATATAGAATCAAAGTTTACATAAAATATATTAGTAACACATTTAATGTTATAATTCGGTTCATAATTTTGGTTCTTCGGTTCGGTACCGCACGGTTCGGTTCGGTTCTCGGTACGGATATTTGTGAAATCTCCAGAACCGTACCAATTATTTTATCGGTTCGGTACGGTTCGGAAAAATTCAAATGGTCAACGGTTATTTTTCAGTTCGGAGTGATTTCGGTTCGTTTTCAGAACGGTTCGGAATTCTTCGAGTCTCATGCTCAGCCCTACAGTAACACACAGCTTGATTATTGCTTTTTTTACTAAAAATATAAACTTATATTATGTGGATTATTATTTTTATTTATTTTATTTTAAATAATATAATATTTATTTATCTATCTCTAAAAAATATAATAATACTTTGGCGTTCCGTAATGGTTTTTTATTTTTTCTCTCGTTATAAATCTTCTTGCAGACTGACTCGGTAAAATATTCCCCGACGTAGAATAAAATACAACAGTAGAAAAGGAAGAAAAAAGAAAAAAAAAAGCCCTCAAAAATTCATTTTCGTCTCTGATATTTGTCTCAGCTCAACATCTTTCAGTGTGTTTGCTCGATGGACAACTTTTGTAGCGCTGCTGACAATCAGGTAAAAAAGGCAGAGTTCCTCTTATTTCTATTCTCATCTGAAACTGAATTCGTGTAAAAATTGATGATTCTGTAAAAATTGATGCTTCCAACCTCTGATCCATCGAGCCAGAGAATTTTTTTTTTTTTTTATTATTTTTGTTCATTTCCATTTGTTGTTCAACAGTAATTGAGAAGTAGCAGCTGGAATAGAAAAGGTTACAAAATCTTGGGAAGGTTTTACAATCATGGCGGTGGTGGAAAATGCCGCGATGACATCATCGAATCGAGATGTGGCGGAGAACGACGTTTCCGTGGATAACCACCGCCAGGAGTCAACGACCAACGGCCAAGAGTCAACGAAACTGCACGATCAGAGTTACCACCTGGTGCAGCACAACATATCCAACGGCGGTCATCGTCAGCTGCCGGAGAAGAAAGTGAACGGGGACGATGACGATCGGGCTGAAGGTTTTAAGAGGGAATTGAGGGATTTAGAGGAGATTCTCTCGAAACTGAACCCGATGGCCAAGGAATTTGTGCCGCCGTCTCTGGGCGGGCACCACCGGCTGCTGCTGGCGCCGCCACAACTTGCAGCGGCGGCTGGACATTTTGGGTATAATGCTAATGGTTTTGTAATTCAGCAGCTCGTTAATTCAGGTGCTCCGGCTGAAAATTCATTTCCAAGGGTTAGTATTTTATCTCATAATTTATTTATTTATTTTTTGTTTTTTCATCCCTTTTGCCCTCTAAATTGTGTAATTGTCTTTTTGACTCAGGACTGGAACTATAGAATTTCTGCTTTTTATTGTAATTAATTAATCTTCTTGGTTGATTCAGGGCAGGAACTATGGAAAATCTCTTCTTTCTTTTCTTTTCAAATTATTTTTGTTTAATATATGACGAGCTAAACCTTGGAAATCTTAATGCCATAATGCCTTTCAAATCCTCCTAGTCATCAATAATTCTTGCTTAGAAGAATGCCCATGTTGTGGTGATTCCACCAAGAAGGTAATGGGTTACTCCTACAGCATGTCCTTGTACAATAATCAAGGCTCTCGGCTGAGTAGCAGGAGCAACTTTTTCATGGGTTGTTATGATTGTTGGGTTAAGTTATCGATTGCCATTAAGTAATTTGACTCATTTGGGTTGTTTGGTGTTTTAATTTTCTTATGTTTAATCAGAATAAAAACCAGAACTTTTTCCTGTATTTCATTGTTCTCTCTCTCTCTCTCTCTCTCTCTCTCTCTCTCTCTCTCTCTCTCTCTCTCTCTCTCTCTGTGTGTGTGTGTGTGTGTATGTGTGATTCGGCTCATATTTCCATCTTTCTAACAGGGGTTTCAATTTTGAATTGTTTGAATTGACGGTTTTCGGGAAACTCCAATATGCAGAAAAAAAATGGCTACAGTCAAGGGAGGCGAAGGACTAATAGCAGAACAAGCATGGCTCAAAGAGATGATGTGATTAGGAGAACGGTGTATGTTTCTGACATTGATCATCAGGTAAAAGTAGCCTGCAGATTGTTATTATTTGTTTGGAAGACAGCAAACCAAGTAAAGATTTGACATTTCTTGAGATGAATGTAGGTAACTGAAGAGCAACTTGCTGCCCTCTTCATTGGCTGTGGTCAGGTATATTTTGTGTCAAAAGGTGGCAAAATCTGCATTACAAGTACAACTAAACAATATTCCTGATTTTTTATGTATGACAGTTTCAACTTTTTCTTTATTTCTTTTCTTCTTTTCTGCTGCTCATGACGAAGGTTGTGGATTGCCGTGTTTGTGGTGACCCTAATTCTGTGCTTCGTTTTGCATTCATTGAGTTCACTGATGAGGGTATGTAGATTGCCCTTAATCTTGTTTTTCTTATTTTCGCGAAACGTCATTAAGGTTGTATCTCATTAGATTGTCTCTGATATGATTCGCAGAGGGTGCAAGAAATGCCTTGACCTTAGCAGGAACCATGCTTGGGTATTATCCAGTGAGAGTGTTGCCTTCCAAAACCGCAATAGCTCCTGTTAATCCGACATTCTTGCCAAGAGTGAGAACCTTTTTTTTTAAAAAAAAAAAAAAAATTATTTATGCTTTTCGTTAGTTCACAGGTTAATTACTGAAAAAATTTACTCATGAGGTTTAGCTAATTGAAAAGGTATAGTAATTAATTTTTACAAAGATTACAAATATCCCTCGACATTTGTTACCTTTTACAAATTTAAACCTTGAGAAGGGGTTGTAGTGGGGGTGGGTCTTTGGTTTTTGAATATAGGAGGTGCTTGTAATACTAGGGTTGATTTGTAGTTTAGAAAGATGATTGGAACCATTTTGTGATTAGGCTGAAGGTAAAGGGTTGTTTTGAAACGAAATAAGTTCTAGCACTATGTCTTCTAGAAAGCACTAACTAATTTTATTTTCTGTGATTTTAGTCTGAGGATGAAAGAGAGATGTGCGCAAGAACTATTTATTGTACAAACATTGATAAAAAGGTAATTTTCCGGAACACGATCACCATTTTCATTTGAAAATGAAAGCGCAATTATACCTTTGTTTGATTATCAGGTCACCCAAGCAGATGTCAAACTCTTCTTCGAATCCATTTGTGGCGAGGTGTGCAACCTGCTGACCATATAACAATGAAAAGAGACTTATTTTTTCTGTTTTTTTTTTTTTTTTTTTGATAGTGATATGTGTCTGCAAATCAGGTCTACCGCTTGAGATTGCTTGGTGACTATCATCATTCAACTCGTATAGCTTTTGTCGAGTTTGTGATGGTGAGACATACAGTTTCTCATTTATTTTTATTTGACGTGTATCTAGTCAGTCATATGATGTCGGCTAGTGATAAATTCTCATCACTTCTTTTTGTTTTTGCTTTGAGACCTCACACCTTACATCCTATCAACTCTAAAATTAATATATTCATTGCTGATTTTTGTGGTACATACCCTTGGTTGGTTAGAATTTTAGAGGTTTTAACTTTTCACCAAGTGAAGTGTACACTACAGTCATATAGCCTTGTATGAATTGAGGTATCAATTGTTCAGGTCCACCATGCCACGTGACCCTGGTCCATTATACTACGATTGTTACACTAACTTTTACATTTTTATTTGTTTTTTCCATAAGTAGTCTACTTTTGGTTAAGTGCAAATTTATTGACCTGCGCGACTCTCCTCCGCAAAGATCGCATCTTAATTTCATTAACTATTTCCAGAGATGTCAACCATTTGGAGTTTGCACCTTACATAGGTTACAGCTCTTAATTGAATATGCATTGAAGTGAAGGAATGACTATAAATTAGCTGCCTTATGCTTGTTTTCACATATTCGTTACTGTGTCTTTTTTTGAGTAAACTTTTGACGGCTGGTAATTATTTTGTAAACTCCCACTCCGTTGACTAAATAACATAGGTTGTCCTTATAGTGCCCTTTTATGTTAATAAAATAAATATCGCGATACAACTTGCTGGCATTATGTATTATCCTGAAAAATGGTAAATGGTGTATAGACGAGTGAAAGGACCTGCATATGGAGGCTTCCCATTTGCTGGATTGTTCGTTTGTTTGTGTGTGTGTCTTGGTTTGGCTTCTTTTAGGACTCAATATTGCAAGGAAAAAGTTCAATTAAAATAATGTCATTACGGTTTGGCGTAGGCTGAAAGTGCAATTGCGGCTCTCAACTGTAGTGGTGCAGTCTTAGGATCGTTTCCCATAAGGTTCGATTTTCCTTTATTATCCCCACAATACTTTGTGCAAGCTTATATTGTTTGAGAACTGCAAATTTTGTATCTTCATTATTGTGTTCCCCATACTTCCAGGGTAAGCCCGTCAAAGACTCCCGTGCGACCCCGTGGCCCCCGTCAATCCATGCACTAGTATTCTTTCCGTGCTTTCTCTAATGACTCGACGACTCCTCTCCCCAGAGAACTCTTCTATTTCTCTCTCTCTCTC